GCGCTGGAAGGGTCTAGACTGAAAGCTAGTAAGGAGGGGAAAGCAAGGGAGGGGCTGCCCGGATCAGGGCAGAGAGAGGGGAGCTATCTGTGGCCACTTGGAGACTGAGTGTTAACTCAGCAGCTGCTTCCAGTGCCAACCCCACTTTCCTTTTTGGGACCCTGCCAGATGCAGTCCCTGGACCCAGGGGTCTTATCTTCCCAGCTTGGGAGAGCTGGCTTGTGAGGAAGCCCAGCCTTTGGGCCCCTGAAGAAGCTACATTGATGAGAGGTTGGGGACAATCCCAGCAGAGTGCCACACCTGGCCAGGTGTGTGGGGGGTGGGTGGGATCCATGCTGAGGTGACCTGTGATGGCTGAAGAGGCTGACCTGGTCTTGTAGCCAAGGGTGGGCAGAGTGGCTTCCTGCCCATCCCTCCCCCGCATGGGGCTATCCCTGGGCCCCTCCTCCAGGGCCAGGCAGGGGCTGCGACCCAAGAGACAGGCCTGATGCCTGACACACGGGAGGGGTGGCCACCGGGCAGCGGGTGGACCTCGGGCTCTAATCCCCAGCAGCTGCAGTTTCCCTCAGATCGATTCCCTTCTCACTTTTTTTTCAGCTGCTGGTTCCGCGGCTCGGATCGATGGAGCCGCCTCCCCCGCCCCTCTGAGCTTCCTCTCCCTGCTGCTCATTAGCGCCCCGATTAATCAGCCCCCCCCCCGTTTCCTCTAGGGGACAAGTGCTTCCTCCCCCTTGAGGCCTCATGCTTTCACAGGGCACCCCAGATCACAAGCTGCTCACTGTGACCACCCCCACCCTGGGGACACCAAGACATCTCCTCCTGGCCTGCCAACAGGGTCTGTCCCTGCTTGTGATAATAGCCCACATGCCTGCCTCCCCTCAACAGGATGGCAGCCACCCCAGGGCTCCCCTGCCCCAATCTGTGGGGGACACCCCCTGCATCTGCTTCTTTAAGGTTGTACTCCTTGCCATTCAAACCTGCCCATTTCTATTCCTTCCAAACCCCCACCTGGCCTCTGCTCCCTGGCCTGTTCACCCAACAGCATCCCCACAACACCCAGCCTGACTGTGGCTAGAAATTTGAGAAGCATTTGGGGAAGCAAAGTGGCCACAGATGTACAAGTCAGCCAGGGTGCCCTCTGTCCCAGACATAGGAGTGACTTCT